CAGATTTTTGTCTTCTACTTTTTAGAGTTCTTTTTGTTAATATTACTAATATTCAAGGATGCATTAAATTGATTTCCATTTCAAATAAAATGCTGTTCTTTTGAACTTTCTATTCACTAAATAATCCTAAAAAAAAAAAAGTATACATAATGGTTTGCACAAAAAAAAAAAAGAAGAAGAAGAAGAAAAAAAAGAAAAGAAGCACAACCATGTTTTTAACACTGCTAATAATCAGAAATGTTTCTTGCAGCATATTAGAATGATTTCTGAAGATCATGTGACACTGAAAGGTGCAGTGAGTGATTTCTGGAAAACGCTGGTGATATCTGAAATCACAAAACAAACACAACCCTACCCAAGAGGATCATCAAGAACAATCAAGAGGTAAATCTCTAGATTCAACAACCTAGCAAGTAAATGAGGCATGATGCAGTAACACAGCATCCTCAAACGCTCTGCCTGTGGAATATTATACAGGAAAACATTCAAAACCATTCAGGATCTTCCCAGTTTCCAACAGTTTAAAATGTACTCTCTAAGACCTAGTCTGCATATTCACTGGCATTCTTCTAAATTAAACCTTTATTGTAACAGCTACATCAACATTTATGGACAACAGCTATTTGCTTCTGATTATGCAAAGTGACTTTGTGTCGCACAAATCAAACGTTTTCCTTCCTTGAGCAAAATGTATGACTCTGACTGGGTTTCACTCCTGGGTAAGATTGCTTTGTTTTTTTTTTACACCCCTGAGATTATCACAGCGGTGAATATGATTGTAGATCATTTATCTATTGTGGAGCCGGTAGTATCAGACTGTACAGACAGGATTCTCCCATGGAGCGCCGCTCGTGCTGCGAGGCAGGATTACAGGAATAAAGGAGCCCGGGTGAAGAAAAATATCCTAATCCTTTATCCCCCCTTTCCACTTTTATAAATTCCTCATCTCTTCAATATAGGCCTCCCTTTCTTCTTATCACACTAATGATACTCTCTCTCTGTCTCGCTCTCTTATTTTTTCTCTTTCACATTGTGTTTGAGTAACAGACAGGGCTCTGTGAACTTCTGAATACAGCCTGAATATGAAAAAGATCAAACGTTAATGAACGAATGAGACTTCTCAAAACTTTTCTCAGTGAAAATGGATACAGTTTCTAATATTCACATGAAGTAAAACTGAAAATGACTTGCCAGCGTCTAAATAAGATTAGTGAGTCGAGCGATGTCAAGAGTAGATGTGTTAAAGGTGAACCGTATAACAGCAACTGACATCCGATCCCATGAAAGTCCACTGCGATGAGTTGATGGTCAAGAATTAGAATTCCTCTAAACAGTTCTTCTCTCAAGGGCTCAGTTTGATTTTTAACGTGTTAAATAAAGAACCATATAACCAGAGTTGACAGAGATGTCTAAAGGCCTTTATAAAAACATGATGCATAAATATTGCTGCATCGTATAGATGTAGATGCAGGGAATTGGTCTGTATATTAAAAGCATATTTATATGTATATTAGTCATTTTCCTGACATCAAGCTTGCGTAACTCCTTAAATAAATGAACCATCCATTTTGTGTCTTATGTGACAGTATTTCACTTCCAGTTCATGGAATTTATTCATTCATCCTCTTAAAAGTCAGAAATGGCTTGTGCAAGATGAAATGCAATAAAATAGAGGATTCCACTGAATCTCATGCAATGGTCTTTAATCTTTCTACTCCATTATGTTTGAAATGTAGTTTGACTAGCAAAAAATAAACCTGTATTCAAATGTTACTTAAAAATACTTTACTTTTTTTTTTTTGTAAATTAAATTATGTTTAACATATATAAACATGATCTGTTTCATAACAAAATAACTAATGCCTTAGGCATTTTTCTTTTTCCTTCTCTAAACTTTAGTATAAAAAAATATTCCAGGGTGTCCACAGATATAAACAAGTTAAATATACCACCTTATATGAAATTTAAGACCAAACTTATGATGGAAATGCACATAATATATATATATATATGGTCACACTTTAGTTTAGGGACAAGTTCTCAATGTTAAGTAACTGTGACTTTTGCCTCAATAAACTCCTAATTTGCTGCTTGTTAATAGTTAGTAAGGTAGTTGATAAATTTGGCTTCATTAAAAGCTTATTGTATCACCGTATTAAAAGCTCACTGTATGATGTAGAGTACGATGAGAGAGATGGACACAGAGTGTGATTACCTGCATCTGATACAGCATTCATTCATTCTTCAGCTCAATCTCATATTCACAATAAAACATTAGTCTGAATGTCCGCTCTTTAGTTTAGGGACAAGTTCTCAATGTTAAGTAACTGTGACTTTTGCCTCAATAAACTCCTAATTTGCTGCTTGTTAATAGTTAGTAAGGTAGTTGATAAATTTAGGTATGGGGTTTAGGATTAAGGGATCTAAAATATGATCATGCACAATAAGGCTTTAATATGTGCTTTATTAGTACTGATAAACAGACTATATGCTAATAAGCAACTAGTTAATCGTGAGAATTGCTCCCTAAACTAAAGTGTTAGTGAATTTTCTTTTACTATAGTTTACTGCTTGTTTTTGACAGTTATTTGCATGAACGTCCGCTGAGGAAAGCCATATCTTTGTCGTACTATGTTTCATCTGTTAACGGTGATTTCTGATGACAGCGCTGCTCAATGTATCTGTTAACTGCATCTTACAAGCTGTTATTAAAAGTAAAAATAACTTCCATTTCAGTCTCTTTCAATATAAAAGTCTTTACTGCTGACTCGTAAAACAGTTTCTTGTCACCATCTAATGAAGGTTATAATGTCAATAAAATCACCATCACGAACATAATGTTTCTCACTAAACACTACTATTATTTTTATAAAATATTATTTATTGAATAATAAACAAAAACAACAGCCACCATAAAGTTGCTAGGCCATTTAATCAAGTACAAAGGCAGCGCTCTGATATACAGCATTTAATTTACATAAAATATAACGAGATTAGATTTTGCTCTCAGCCAAAACTATTTGTCTGGAACAAATAATAGATTAATGAGACCAAAGACTGCACGTGAGATTTACACAAAACAAATTATATCTCATGTTTAACCACTATAGAGACATCAGAGCCAGCGGCAAATTCCAGAAGATCTGGCCGAGGTGAGGCTGCTCTCGGCGGGTTCATGAGCGCTGAACGGCCGCTGACGCCCTGGAGCTCACATCTCCCAAAACATCGAAGCTAATATTCAAATAGACGTTATCTTTATTAATAAACCACATATTTGAAGTCTAAACAAGTACATTCTCGTCTAAAAAAACTCTTAAAGCTCTTAAAACTGCATTCCGTCACACAAAAACAGTATTATTTATAAAAATTATAGTGTATTTGTGCGTCCGCCATGACAGTCGCTGTGAGAAATACGGCAAGCGGAGTGATACAAACGGTGAAACAGTTTGCGTTCTGTTACCACTGTAATATCGCACTCTTATCAGCCAATCAGATTCGAGGAACAGAAAGTACTTTTGTACATGTGTGTGTGTGTGTGTAGGTATGCATGTAATAAAACGTGTATTTTCATATGTAATGTGTATATTATATTTTCCAGACGGTTTTATTTTTAATCACCATTATTATGGTGGTTATCAGTATAAATATTTAGGGGATTTTATTCAAGTAGTAGTAGTTCTGTCATAATGAAATATATAGTTCTATAGACCAATTTCAGTGTTTGCAAACAGTGATGACGTTTTTGTGGGCGGAGCCTATCTGGTGGCAGAAAATGACAGTTTTAACGTAGCAGTCTATTCAAGCCATGGAATAAAATAATAAAAATGTAATTTTGAGTTTATATTTCAAAATTTTGACTTTTTTCTTGCAATTCCGAGATTATATCTCACAATTCTGGTAAGAAAAATCAACTTGTCATTCTTTCTTATTAGTTTATAATCCCACACTTCTGGCTTTTTTTCCTCAGAATTGACAAACTCGCAATTGTTGACTTGAATCAAGTTATAAAGTCCGAACTAGGAGATATAAACTTGCACTAGCAAGAAAAAAAGTCAGAATTGTGAAATAAAATAGGTAAAATATTATGTAAAATGTTATAGGTTTAAATAGTATTTCATGCATGTATT